TGGGTGAAGAAATTATCAAAGTTTACTAATAGCTCAATACATCCAATAAAGTTTCCGTTGCGTAGTGATACTAGTTTTTCGTATGATTCGCGGAATGATAATCCTCTAAGAATAAACAATAAATAAAATATCTAGTTATTTTCAATTTTGAAAAATATTTAAGTAGCATTATTACGTAATAAGTATAATTTAATTTAAGTATTTATAACTATTAATTTAAATTTATGTATTTAAATTTTCTATATATTACGCACAAACCTAGAAAAGAAATGTTTGATAACTCTGATTGTTTGTCGTAGAGCTTGGGTCCAAAACTCTTCTTCAGTCTGGTATTGCTTGGTAAACTCTAAATCTATCATTCCCTTGACTGCTTTTTTTGAGATGAAAATGCGACAATGACATGAAAGAGCTCTACGGTCTACTCAGGTTCACTAAAGGAGGTTTTGGCATGTTGCCAGTTCTGGAATCCTCTTTTTTTAGATAAGCTACTTTTTGATTTTCCAAAAAAAAACAAGTTACACATGCTTCCATTTTCTTTTGAAAATTGAAGCCAATTGCGTAATACTTTTCTTCCTTCTTTGTTTTTCATTCTAAAGAACGAGTTCGATAAAATTTGCCCCCAAAATCACAGTACTCTGAGGATGAGAAGTCAATTTTTTGTATATTTATTTTAGGTGGATTTGACAAGATACGGTCAACCAACACGAGTCACGGTTCCAATCAGCAGGATCGTTGAAATATTGTTGCTTTGATTACTACTTGATTAAGGCTCAGCATGGTTATCACGAGGGTCGTTTGAACATTAGGTTTTCACGAGGGTCTCTTTTTTCCTTCTGCTTCTATGCGACGAACTCCTCTAGATTTCTCCTTTTATTTGACATTTATCAAGACTTTTTTGCTCACTCATTTTTATTTATTTTATTCTTAATTATTTATAATAATATTTAATTATTAAATTAAATAAAAAATTAATCCGTACACTAAATCCCAACATCACTTAAAATAAATACACGTAATAATAATATAGTTAACGTGAATTTAAATTATGCAATTTAATTAAAAAGGTATATAAAAAACAAACTGTTTAAACAACGAACTAAAAATGAAAATCGTAAATAAATAGTATTTATACATTGTTAATGAAAATAAAAATAACATCGACCAACACTTCACAAATGTTTTATGATGTGATACGATTGACTAACAAATACAAGTAATTATATAAAATATCATACACAAACAAACTTTAAAAACATTAAATCAAGACTCATCAAACCACATTCCATTTTGAATTCAAACTCAAACGTTAAAAAAAACGTCTAGTTTGCGATATGTCGTATGTGCTGTAATTGCGAAGATTAAAAATCTTTGGCACATGAGAGGAAGTTAAGGATAGAGGCCGATAATATTTTTCATTTTTTATTATTTATCTTTCAAAATTCACTTAGATGCTCTGGCCCCTTGAACTCCGTGGCCTCCCGCACGTGTCCACTGTATCCATTGGTTACACCGGCACTGGTTACTCAAGAGAACAAAAATGTATTATCTATTTCAACAATTCATGACCAGAATAATCGAATTTAAAAGAAATCGAAATAAAAGAAAATATATTTGTGCAGCTAAATTGTATTAGACGACTCACAGTGGGACAGATTAGCTTTAAAACAGGACAAAATAAATTTTTGTTTGTTTTGGATTTGTAAGTTAAAAAATTATTTTAAGGGCACTTGCTAGACTTAGAAAAAGCTTGCATTTAATCTAATTAAATGTATTCGAAAAAAATTAAAATGTATTCTAATCGATTCACTAAAATAAATTATAGTAATTCGAATTTAATATAAAAAGTCACTCAAAAAAAAGTTACTCGAAAACTCGATTAGATTTATTCGTTTAAATTTGCTCAAAACAAAACTATAGTTCTAGCGTTCATGACCTGGTTTTGTTACATGGTTTCTACTGATGTGATTGACACATTTCCGGAAATGTGTCATTCCTCTTAGTGTGTATTAGTGGAATTCCACTAATACACACAAAAGGGCTCTATAAGTGCAAAAAAAAAAAAAAAAAAAAGAAAAAAAAAAAAAAAAAGTTTTGCTATCTGCATTTATCAGCAATTTCTTAAAAAAAAATGTTTTGAAACTGTATTCAAGTGAGGACATAAACAAAAAGCGCATTGTTTGAAAAAATTAAATAAAATAGATTTTAAATGCATTTTTTTAAAAGTTCTATTAATATATATTTTAAACACTTTAAAATTATTTTTTTATTAGCAAATAATAGTTGCAAACCTAAAATTAAAGAATCCCTGAAAAAAAATTTAGAACTTTTAACAAACTTAAGCTTTAACACTATAAGAACAAAGTAGTAAAATTAATCACTCACGTGATTAATTTTACTGCATTATGGGTTCTACAAGGTTAAAGGTCAGTCCGACCCTAAAAAGGCGGATAAGATGGACCACAGACTTAACATTACCATCAAAATACGTTTTATAACACCTTTTTTCGTTTTCGTGTTTTCATGTCCAGTGATTTCATGTCCAGTTTTGATTTCGATTTTCATTTTTGTGATTTCATGTCCAGTTTTGAAACAATTCTGCCCCAATGTGCGAGGCACTAAGCGTTGCAAGCAATTATTGAAGAGTTACGCGGAAATTTGAATTAAGTTATGCGGAAATATAATTTATACTTTATGCGTAAATAAAAAATTTTTTATGCAGAAATATAAATTAAATTATGCGGATATATTAACTAAAAAATGCGGAAATATAAACTTTATTATGATGCATCTCAGTATATATTTATATTCATTTTTTATTTATTTTTATTGGATAGAACTAGTAAAAAAATATTTCTTAAATTAAAAGAAAATTTTTTTTATTGATAATCAATTTATATTCCTTAAAAATGGAACACCAGCAAAAAAAAAGAATTACATATAAATCTGATTTATTGAAAATGATACGTGACTTACTTGATGGAGGAAAAGAGATTAAAGAAATTTAGGATTGTCGTTCAGCCATGTTTTAAAAAGCGCAAACAAAATCTTCGTCAACATACCAGATTCTGAACTTATTAATACAAAAGAAGAATATTTTCTGCTATAAGAAATGCAATTAGCATTGTGATCAACAGAGATCAACTCACTAACACAAGCTGGAGTTTGAGATAATCATGCTGATTCGGGATTTCATGTGTCTTAACATTTGTTTCTAGGCAACTTACAGCAGTTATTATTATTGTTAACTTTTATTTCGCTGATTAAACTATATTACAATTTTTCATATAATCATGTAAATATTAAATAACATCGTAAACATAAAATCCTTGTTAAAAAACGTTTTAAATCTTTTTTTTATAATATATATATATATATATATATATATATATATAAATATATATATATATATATATAATATATATATATATATATATATATATATATACACACACACACTGTTATAATCAATCAGGGACTCAAAAAAGGTAAGGATGATGCGTTTATTATCACAAGCTTTTCATAGAGCTCTTTTAGTCAGTCATTCATTAAAAAAAAAATTTTTAGTTTTTAAAGTAAAATAAAAATTCAATAAAACAAAGCTCATATTTTTTTTAGTGTAAAAAACTGAAAGCAAAAAATATTAAAACAAATAAGAAAAGAAGAAAAAAAAATAAATAATTTGGAAACAAATACTGTAAACTATAATATGTCAGGAATTAATGAGATACATTTTAGTTTATCGAATAAATGATGAAATGCTTTTTAGGTCTTTAAAATTTTTATTTTAGAAATGATTCCATATTAATGGACCACGGTTTATAATTAGAAAACAATGCAATGAAAATAACATGAAAGCGTTTATCACTGGTTCCTAACTGGTTCAAAGTTAGTTTTTTTTTGTATGAAACGAGGTTTAACCTCCAGACCTTATCTAATTATGGATATGATCCGATAATCACGAAAGTATATATAACGCTTATAACTGAGAGAGGATACTTGATGGCAGCCATTTCAATTACTTGGATAATTGGATACGAGTTAACAGATGGTGTTTATTACTGTGATTGTTTCATTGATTTTATAAAAGAACACTATTGCCATATTTTATTCAAAGCCAAGATTGTATTTTAATAATGGTTTTATCATCGGTCCGATGTTTTGAAAATATTAATTTTTGCATAAAATAATTTATATTTCCACATAATACTGTAATACAAACTTTAAAGTACTGTAAGCCACCCTACCACAGACCCCAAACTACGCGTTTACTAGGCCTGTTAATGCAAACGATCTAATACTAGGCCTGTAAATGCAAACGATACAAACTTTATTTGCAATACAAAAAACTGCAAAGTAACTTCGGTTGATAGCTTTCAACTATTGCAAATAAATTTTTTGTTTTTTATTTAAATTTTTTTGGTAAAATTTAAGATAAAACAAAACTGTTTAGCGTTTTTAAAGCATTGCTAAGGTTATATTACTGTATTTAGTTGAACTTAACTCAACGTACAAAGTTTTTGTAAAATTCTTTAGCAAATGAAGACTAAATAAACTTTCTCCAAAAAAATGTAAAAAAAAACAACTTAAATTTGTTATCCCTGGAAATAAGCACGACCAAAGTTCTCAGTAATAATATCACAATACATCTGGGAAGATTTGGCATTATGAACACATTATTTTTTCATTAATTTAATTATGCACATATTTTTAAATCAAAAAGTTGAAATTTATTGGAGCACCAAGTTATGTTAGGCAGCCTGGTAATACATTTTTTACATACACGTTCTTGAAAAATTCATTATTTATTTCATTACAAAATATATTACAAACATTTATCAAGAAAATTTAATGCTGACGCAGTAACTGTCTGCAAGACTAAGAATAAACATTTCAATATAATTTTTATATTGTATACAAAAAATTTATTTCATCTAATATAAACAGAATTCTAAAATTTTGTTTATAGAGTGTTTTTAAAACGTGAATTTAAAATATCTATATAAAAATCTATATAGTTTATTTCATATAAAGTCAATTATAAATTGCTTTAACTATATTTAAAAAACGTAAATATAAAATATATTTATTATAATCAACATATTGTATAAGTAATTGATATAATTAGAGACCTATATACACAAATATATTTACACATATATTTTGACTAATTTAAGTTAACTTGGCGAGCGACGATGAGGTATTATGACAAGCAACGTATCCAAAGTATGTGTAACTCAGTTGTTGTGTCTGAGATAAGTAGTCCGCATCAGCAGTTACCCTAAAAAGAATATTGAATATAATACAATAAAAAGTATTGCAAAAAAAAAAAAAAAAAAAAATCGTAGAACATCTAAGGTGCTTGAGAGAACAGATCGATGTGACCATAAAGGGGACAATCATTAAGTACGTACGCAGTAAAACCACTGACATAGACAATCCTCGTATACGCACCTAAATACTTTTAACGACCCTCCCCTCCCTCTACGCATTATTCATTACAAAACCAACCCCCCTTTTCCAATGCATACATTTTTTAAAGCATTAAAAACAAACATTTTTTTTGCTAATTCGGTTAATAAACAGATTATTGATTTTTAAACTTATAAAAAGCAAAGCTTTTGTTAATAATAAAAAAAAAGAAATCAAGTTTTACGAGAGATAGACAACGAGAGATAGTCGAATCGCGTATGTACTAGCTCTCTTTAACATTCCCCCTGTACGTATTCGTAAATTTTTGAGTAACACCCTCCACTCATACCTGTGTACGTATTGGAAGACCGCAAAATAAAAGCAATTAAAGATTGACTTCAGTGAAGCTTCAGAGGAAAATCAAAAAGCACAACAAAAGAAGACATTAAAAGATGCAAAAAATCACAGATCCTATGAAGAAGCATTACCCACTCAAAACAACAGATGGTATCAACCAAAACAACATGTGGTATCAACCTGAAGCTTCTAACTACAAGTCTTAGTTTTGTCGTGTTTAGCTAAGGGGTCGTCCATAAAATCACGCTATTTTTTTCAATTTTTAACCCCCTCCCCCTCTCCTGTCACAAACTGTCACATAATTCTGCACCCCCAAAAAGTATGTCACACTTCTCATGTTATGCGTATCGCCGTATTTTAAATAGTTTAAAAAGTTTGCAACTGCCTTCACGTTTCTGAAGACATTGAAGCGAGAACGACTGAATAAGTGCGAATGGCATAAGTGCGAACTGGCATAACTGCGAGTTACTAATTTGCACTTACGCCAATATTTCAAATTTTATTTGGCGCACTTATGCCATTTCGCTCTTATGCCAGTTTTTGTAACTACTTCGCACTTACGCCAGTTCACACTTATGCCAATATTTGCAAATTTATTCAGCGCACTTATGCTAATTCGCAGTTATGCCAGTTCGCACTTTTCAGTTTTTTTCCAGTTTTTGTAATTGCTTCGCACTTATGCCAATGCTTGCAAATTTGTTCGGCGCACTTATGCCAGTTCGCATTTGTGCCAGTTTTTGTAACTGATTCGCGCTTATGCCAGTTCGCATATATGCTAATTCGCACTTATGCCAATGTTTGCAAATTTGTTCGGCGCACTTATGCCAATGTTTGCAAAATGTTTTGGCGCACTTATGCCAGTTCGCACATATGCCAATTCGCGCTTATGCAGCCTCCCGATTGAAACTCCTACCTTCCTCGTTGTTCTTACACCAGTGATATTAGTTACGCTATATTTTAAAACTCATAATAGTTAATTATTGTTTTATTATAATAACTGTTATAATAAAACTATAAATAACTATTAGGATAAAAACACATTGTGAAGTCGAATTATTTTTCCGAAATCAATGCGTAAGGCGTTTTGAAAAAAATTTAAAAAATTAAAAGCAGATATTTTTTTTGGCGTTTATTGAAACTAGTAATCTTAATGAATTTTTTCATAATTTAAAAAAAATAATAATTATTGGATAACGTTTGCTATCATCTGTATTAGCTTATATAAAAAAAAAAAGAGTCAATTTTTGACCTAAAGGCGTTTTGAAAAACGGCTGTAGAAATATCAGGAAAAAATAAGTAATAAGGAGGGGGAGGGAACGCTTTATCAGTAGTCTATAATTTTTCATCCGAACATAACAGAATATTTATTGTTTACTGTATCTATGATTAAGAAGCATATATTTATTTTATATTTATCTAAATAGAAAAAAAAGAAATTTGAATTATTTAGCATCAAAAAGCTTACACAACTCTATAATGCTCACTGCCAAAACTCTTAGTGTAACTACATATAATTCTCACAGCCAAAACTCTAGTGTAACTACATATAGACTATGATAAGAAGTAAAAGACAGACGGGAAAGCCATTGAACAATGCGGACATAATTTTTAGCAATTTTTGTAACAATTTTGAAAAATAAACTGTTTTATCCAACATTTTTTGCTTTTAAAACACTAACTTAACTAATTCGTACTTTTGGAAAATACCAATGTATTTTGTGTAATTAAGAATATCTCATGTGTTTGAAAATGCTTTACTTCATATGTAACCTTGTTTGATAAAAACCTATTTCTAAAAAAAACGTCAAAAAAATGTTTTTGTCAAAATGAAATATGCAATACTTAAAATGAGGAATTCGAAGTAAAAAGGATTTTAAACAAACTGTAGATCATATCATAGATCATTTATAGATTGAACTAGAGATTGTTAACAATTATTACTCTCTACAATTAGATTTTACTTATCTACCTCTTCTTACTAACATCTTACTACCCTAAGGTACTTCTCTAAGGTACTTTTCTAAGGTACTTCTCAAGGTACTCCTTCTTACTAAGATCATAAGGTAGTTTATAACCAAGTTAAAGTTCGAAATAAACTGATTGCATCGAATAGGAAGTTATTTTGCATATGGTTATTGAAAATAATTAGGAATAGAATTAAAAAAAATGTTGAACTCAGGAACTAAAAGAACGATTCTGTTTCCTAAAATACCCCAGAACTAACAGTTATTGGGCTAAAATTTATAGAGTATATTAATAAAATGACAAATATGTGAAAAACAATGTGAACCAAAAAAAACTCTACATTAAGTTAATACATTTATGACAAAATTTACATTTTGTTACCCCAAAATTGTTCCAAAAACAAAAATAGGTTCTAGTAAATGTGAATACTTTATTAAGGTTCACATTGTACTCATACTCATCCTAAAACTGCGCTTTGTCAACATCTTGAAAAATTTGGGCACCAAATAAATTTTTAAATTTAAAAAAAAATGCAAATAAAGATAGAAATAAAAAATCAAATTATAAAAAAAAAAATCTTTAATTGGTCATACTAACCATCAAACTAAAAACATTTCAATAAATTATTTCAAATTACAAAAAGTATTTCTAGAATTATTTCTAAAATGTTGGTTCTGAGTGCATTTTAGAGTCATATTATAGATATTTTAGTTGACCAATCAAAAATAAATATATCTGGACTTGAATGCACTTATAAAATGGCAATGCAAAATGATATTAACAAGGAAGAGTTATTAGACTTGGTAATACAGATGCTTTTAAAAATATTGAATTTATCATATTAACTTGTTACAATATATATATTTTTTATAAAAATTTTCACTTAATAAATCCAAACTAATATTTTTTACAAAACACGCATAAAACCATTTAAATCTAGCGCTTGCGGTCAAATGCGCATTTTCTAATAGCTGTTTTATAATAGTTTCAATAGTATTTAATATGTTGATTTAAGTTTTATACTTTGGTGAGAAATAAATTAAAAGCTCATTTTCGTTAAATCGAGATTTACTTGGTCAGTGATTTTTAAAGTCTGACTGAAATAATTATATTCTAGTTTTTAAGGCTAATTTTCACTTATTTTGTTTTTGTTAAAATAATTAGGCGAGGGATGGGGGGTTTGGGGGAATTTTCCAAAAATTAATATCACCCCCCCTTTTATAAGGGACTCAAGGAAATCATATAAACCATGCATTGCAAAACTTTTGCACAAACAATTTTTAGATGGTCGTCACGCAGTGCGCGGATCTGCAAGGAATTGGGCTGGCCTAATTTCTGAACTTTTAATTGAGCAGACCCTGATGCGTTCTTTAAAATGCAATAATGGTTTAACAAGAGGTAAAGGATTTGATGAAAATGTACGCAACCTAATGACAATGAGCATCTGTTATTCTGCAAGTGTTCATAAAGCAATGCATAAATTATTTGACATCAGAATAATGGAAAAAAATAAAGAAATGGGTGTTAAAAGATTAGTATGCGATTATGAACATTGTGAGTTGTTTTATGACTGGTTTGCTGTAAGAAATCCATTTAACACTGATGGTAAAAATTTATATTCATTATCTAAGGGTGTTGTGTCGATCAATGGTGAAGATCTTGTCAACTGTGGCAAGGCTAATAACATAAATGTTCGTCAACAAACTTGTCTCGATAGTCTTAAGTTCAATAAAGCAAAGTTGAGTCGACACAACAATTAGTTTGTTAGTCTAGCTTACGCTATTGGTCAAAACATCCAATGAAAAAAAAAATACATTTTTTTCTTTAGATGTTTTGACCAATAGCGTAAGCTAGACAAAAAAACTAATTGTTGTGTTGACTCAACATTCCTTTTTAATAGGTTTGTAGTAATTGCAGAAACAGAGAATGACAATACTGAAATTAAAATACAGTGTCTGAAATTATTTTGGATTACTGGGCAACCAAAAAAGAAGGTGGAAATGCAGAATCTTCATTAAGAAAATTGTGTTTGTTATTTGTATGTTCAATTTTAATTTTTTGGATATAAGTCATTCATTTAAATTAAGAAAATTTAGATTTAGATTGAGAAAATATTTTAATATTTTTAATATCTATTTCTATATATAGATATTTGAAATATAAACAAAAGTTTGTGAAGGAATTATTAAACCAGAAAGGTTACCAGCCACAGATCCTGCTGCTTATTTTCATGGTTTTAGAGTTCATCTCCAGGTTATTGAGGTCAAAACTTTTTTCCAATGAGCAAATCCAGGTTTTGTGTTTTTAATAAAATCCTGACCCGAATATAATAAGCACTTGAATATCGAATTCTTTTTTAATAGTGATAAGTAATATCAAATTTTGCTATAATATATTAAAAATAATTATTTAATATAATATTCATAATAATTATCTATCTATCCAAAATATTATATGAAAATGAGTATAAACGGTTTAAATAAATCTAAATAATTGGGGTCTTGATTTTACAAAAAACGCGAAACCTGGATTTGCTCATTGGAAAAA